GCCTGACAGTGTATTCTAATTTAAACCACAAAACAAGGTGGTGAAACACACGAAACACGTCACCTGACAAGGACAAACCCCCGAATCAAAAAATCAGAACTTAATATAACACCACAAGACAAAAGGAAATGGAAGATATATACTCATTTGAATATCAGCATATGTATATGTTCATATCTTATCTCTTCAGAAGTTGTCAGGTGCAGATGAAGTTGAGTTTGTCTTCACAGTCCCAGTTCTCCCACAGTCCGTACACGGTTAAAGCTCCACAGCGTTTCCTGATTGGACACTGGTGGTCCTGACCTCCTGCTTGGGACCAGGCCTCATATTCCAGAGGGTCACCGTTGATCCACATCCAGCGGTCACCCAGGAAACGCAGGCCGATCCACAGCCGCTCAGTGATGTGGTTGTGCTTGATCTCAGGCTGGGCCAGAAGGAGATCGGTCTTAGAGATCAGACTGGAGAGATCAGTTTGTTTCTCTCTGCAGTGACTCAGAGCGTCCTCCCAGGACATCTTCTCCTCCACCACAGTCATATGCATATCAATGCAGTAAAAGTGGTGGGTCTCTTCGCCACTGCGATCAAACCATTTTCCATCAGATATGATGACTGCTTTGTCCTCAATCCCCCTATCATTATTTGGTTGGCCAGAACCCCAGTTCTTGTATGTAATGTGTCCACCTCCTGACCACATCCAAGCAGTGTTGTTGGTGGGATCTCGCTGAAGTCCGACCCATGCTTCGACAATGCTCCCACCTACGTCTTTTCGTAGCTTGTCTATCTCCCTCTGGCTATTAAAAAAGGAAAGATCAGTGTGATGCTGTCGACAGTAAGCCTGAGCATCATACCAATTCGATCTCAGAGGGACATAAATGTGTTTTCCTATATCTCCCTCAACAGCAATGCAAGAAAGAATGAGAAAGATGATTCTATCCATGATCACTGCTCTGTAGTCCAAGCTGTGAATGTCTTCTGTGGCTGTTTCTTCAATGTCACTTCAGTCATCCAAGGATACGACTTTGCATGAGCTTTGTCTTGTTGATGCAAACAAAATTAATTCATTACTACTTTGCCTAAAGCCTTAAAGACAAACAAACGACTCTCACCAGCACTGGAATGAAGAATGGGAGGGAAAAGGCAAATCTGTACATTTAATTAATTAATTTTTATAATTTAAGATACATTATAATTATATTCAATAATCTAGTGCTTTGTTGTTTCAGCACCATCTGTGCTGCAGTGTACGAAAGAAAAAAAAACAATGCCCCTCCATCATTGTAGTGTACATGAGAAATACAATCTACTGAGCTCTGTGAATTTTATATCATTTTGTGCATTATTCATATCATTTCAAAAAGCCCAGCCCTTTCTCCAGGATATGATTTTGTTTACACTACATCCTCTGTGGCTGCTGCAGGGAAGGTCACTGCGTAAAAGCAGCACAACCCAGTGGTGTCGTATCGTAGCACCATCATGTACAAATAAAATAATCTTTCTGATGCTGTGTGGAGGAGTTTGCATGTTCTCCCCGTGCAGCGTGGGTTCTCTCCGGGTTCTCCGGCTTCCTCCCACACAGTCCAAAAAACATGCTGAGGTTAATTGGTGATTCTAAATTGTCCGTAGGTGTGAATGTGAGTGTGCTTGGTTGTCTGTCTCTCGGTGTCCCCTGCCTTCACCCT